AAGACTCTATTTTACAGGGTACATTTTATCATATGTGAGTTATATCTCAAATTAAAAAAAAATCTAGCTTATGAGGCAAGGTTGTGATTAATGGCTTAAGAACTAGGTGGAGGCTATGCATCCTCCTCGTCAAGTCCAATGTCAGGATTTGGCCAGGATGTCCCCAGGATTCAGTTTTATAGTTTAGCCTAGTTTTTTAAGTTCAACACATGATCAGCCTATAACCAGGAAGCAGCTTTTTTTCCTCCTTACAAGTCTTGCCTGAGAGTTAGTCCTACCTCCTTTCATACCAGTTGGGTTCCCTCAGAAGGCCAGGCCAACCCACACAACAAACTCTCTCTCCTCAAAACTGGCCCCCAAGACATAGGAGGCCAACAAAACCAAATCAGGACAAGGAGGAGCCAGTGCCAAAGCCAGATATTGTTTGACACACAGGAGAAAGAGATGCTGGAAATGGAAAAAAGTAATAAGATGCAAAGCCAAGAGGAGCCAGAGAGAAGCTACCAGGCAGGAGGAAGCAGGCTTGAGTAACTGGAAGAAAGACCAGGAGCCATGGTGCTTGGCGCTTGACCTACAAGTATACATATGCACAAGTGGACAAAATTTGACAACTATGACGGTTTGTATCATCATCATCATCAAATGTTTACTGGGATTGCTGAGTAAAGCAAAGATATACAAAATGAGGGCTTCCAGTGTAGTTAAAAAGTGATTGTTTTTATCTACCGAAAGGCACAGTTAAGTTGCTGAACAGAGTAGGGTGAAGCCAAAGGAGAAGCTGAAAATCCTTACATCAGGATTCAAGGTTTCCTTCAGCAGAAAGCCCCAGTGAATGTTACTGGAGTCCCAGAGGGGATGGACAAAGGGTAGGACAGGGAAATTCTTAACAAAGGGAACATGAACTAGGCTAGAAGAGTGCAGGACTAAACCAAGCAGAAGAGAAGAAGAGGAAGGCATTCTAAGCCTCCAGGGAAGCATGGGAGGTGGGAATGCTTGCCACCAGTGGTTTGGACAAACACCCAGAGTGGGTCACTGGGTCAGGGCTATGAATTAGGGCAGGAGAACAGCAGAGGGTGTACCCCTGTGTAGAAGGCCCTGACCACCAGTCTAGAAGTTTGATCCCTACCATGCAGACAGTGGGGAGCCATTGAAGGTTGCTAAGCAGGAGGGTGACCCTTGCAAACAGGCATTTTAAGAGAGATTACAGAGCAGCCCTTTATTTGAGGCTTATCCAAAGCCCTGGGTGTATTTCAAGTGGCACTTGAGACAGAAAGTCATGACGCTTTTGCCCTGTGTCATGTAGACCAGAAAAAGAAGGTTTAAGGGTCTCACAAAGAGATGCTTCAGTGAGAAAAAATGAAGGGGGGTGAGGGGATGTCTTAAAGAAGGAAGCAAATCTGCAAGACAGAGCAGCCAGCCACAGTGTCTGGAAAACTGCCGCCCTTTCTCAATGCCCTCTTCAGCTGGGGGTGCTCGACCTCCTTTTTTGGAGGTGAGTTGTGATGTCAAAACACTGGGTTGTGTAAGGAGTGAGGCAGCCAGGAGGAGATAGAAGAATAGAAATGTAAATATCAGGCCCAGATGGCATAAGGCCTCCTCTCGAAGACCACTGCCTTCCCTGGGATTCTATGTCTCTCTCAATGGCACCTTCAGGTTTTTGCCAGAATTGCTGAACTCACTAATTACCTGCAGCATTTCTTCCTCTTGGAGCAATAAAATTAATTTTTAAATCTGTCAAGTTTTGAATCCGAGCTCTTTCATTGCTGTTCCTAGTTGTGCAGACAGGGCAGCTCAGAGGCTCTGAACTGGATAGCAATTTCAAGCCATAAATCAGCATTTACATAAGGTGGGAGAGGAAGTCAGGATCAAGTTTCCGGTCTTAAACTGGGCTGTGTACCACTGCAGGGAAGCTCTCTGAGCACAGAGGCAAAGGCCAGCAAACCTGGGGGAAATGACCTGAGTCTTGTGCAAAAATCAGCCAGGCTCAACTAAAGATGTAGGTAGGCAGGTGGCTACTCCAAGTGGCTCCACAATTCCAGAAAGCTGGGCTTTCTTCTTTCACTGGCCTTGCAAGGGGCCCCTCCCTTCCATTCTCCCAGCTACACCCGGAGGGCCTTTGGGCACTTGTTTTGTTTTTTGATGGGAATAGGGTTTGAACTCAGGGCTTCAGGCTTGCAAAGCAAGCACTTTACTACTTAAACCACACTTCCAGTCCATTTTGCTCTGGTTATTTTGGAGATGAGATCTCATGAACTATTTGCCCAGGCTGGCCTCAAACTGCAATCCCCATCTCAGCCTCCCAAGTAGCTACAATTTCAGGCATGAGCCACCAGAGTCCAGCTCTTTGAGCACTTTTAGTTTCCATAAGGTTCTACATGAACACACAAAAAATCACAAACTCATAGTTTTCTTTCCTTTAGGGACAGAAGGGAATATGATCCCTCCTGCCTGGCAAGCCAAGCACTGGGCACCACTAGGCTTTCACTAAAGTACTCCTGATCAGGTGATAGAACAAACCTGGACCTTGACAGTCAAGTTCAGTAAAAACCCAATGTCCCTAGAACAGGGGGTTATGAAACCTGTGATGACTCCTGCTACAGTGGGGCTTTTGCTTTAAGCCTCATTCCCTTGTGGCTACTGTGACCAGACATCCCAGATTTTCCAGAGCTGTCCTGATTTTACATGTTTGTCCTCAACTCTCTGGAAGCACAGAGGTACCTGCCAGGGACTATACCTTGATGTTTTGGTTTGACAAATGGTCACTGTGCCCATGACACACAGCTGGCACGAGGCTACAAAACAGCATTTTCCTTACAGGTGGAGCTCAGTTGCTTGGCTCGGGAGACGGCTAAGCATGAAGAAGCTCCAGCATGCCAGGGTCCTCTGTACCTGGTACTCTAAGAAGCTAGGCTAGCCATGAGCTGCAGTAAGGTGACGCCACCCAGTTACATAGCAACCTAGTAGGGCAGAGCGCTGCCCCATGAGATTCTTCTGCTGAGGACAGGGTGTGAGGCTGAGATTTGGAATGGGAAAAGAATGGCCTGCACAGATTCAGTACTTGCCTTTGGATTGTGCAGTAGAGGAATTGTGTGATCCCTCTACAAGTTCAGGTGGCCATGTCTTAGGCCCTCAAGGAGAAACTGTTTTCTTTTCATACTTGCAGGCTCAGCTCCCTTCTTGCAGGGCATCTTAGTAGATGTGAGGACTCTCAACTTAGACTGTACTAACTACAGGCCTTACTCAGGAGGCAGACCTGGGAGCCATGCTGGAGAAAAGTGCATGACTCACTCTTGTAGCACCCCCACCCCCACCACATCATCACAGACATACAGTTTCAAGCCCCAGCACTTTTCCTTTGTCCCAGACTACATTTCCCCTTTGCCCAGAATACAATCAAGGAATTAGGACCCACCTAAGTTCTGCAGCTAACACTTCCAGGCTCAAAGTCTAGCTGGCCAACTCAGACATTCGTGATCTAACCAGTCTTCCCTACAGCCAGCCATAGTCCAGCTACGCGTGCAATTCTGCTAATTCAAACAGCCTTCCCGTTTAGGGAGGTTGATAGCCATCTCCTCCTATCTTCTTTTTCCTGCTGACGTCATCCCACATTTTCTCCAGACACAAATGAAGGTACAGTTCCTGGCACAGTTTTCAGGCTGCCTAAGGTAGGAGTGGTGCGATCCTGTGCTCCTGAGTCCACTCCAGCTCTCAGGCATTTGGGGGTCTTCAAAGGCTCCGGGAGAGGCAAGGAAACAAATCACCTAGCTAAGGTTAAAGGGCAAAAAGAACTGCAGTTCAGGCCCAGATCTGTCCTGGGCATTTGCAATGCAAATCTGCGTTTTGTTCCCCACCACCAAGGTCTTGCACAATAGCCTGTGTATAAACATCCACGCCAACAATGCCTGACTGTGCAATCCCTCTGTAATTACAGGCCGGCAGGAAGCTGCTGCTAGGAACTGCACCATTCAACCTCTACACATCCCATCTCAGTCTCCACAGCTCCGAAGCACATTCCTGCACACACCATCGTGTCCCCGCCACCGAGGCTACAGTTTGCAGACTCAAACCAGGGAGCCCGCACGCCATCCGGACAGGCCCGCCAAGGCCCAAGTTACTCCTCAAGGGATGTCATAAACTTCTCAGCTGTTCTTCTAAAAACCCTGCGCCACGAGGCTACGGAGGGCGGCGGGAACAACCATCAACGTTTCCAGGCACATTCCTGCAGCCCTAGCAGTTTTAGAAAACAGAAAAGGACGAGATGCCACAGAGTCTACTGGAAGCGGCTTTCTGGGTTTTATATAGAAAACACACATATGTACGTGGGTGTGCTGACAGTTTTTATGGCTAAAGTGCATAGTGTTAGGCCTTAGTGATCACTGTCAGGTTTGGACATGGTAGAGAGGGGGAAGGGTGGGGAGTCAGGAAGGATTTGTTTCAAGGGGGTGTGGGGGGGAGTCGGGGGGGCAATTCGGGTTTTGCTTTCTGGAAATGCATAGGGTTGTTTTCCCAGACTCGGGTGTTGCTCTGCTCTTCCTCACTGGAGTAAATAAAGGTGGGGGAAAGTTCCTTTAAGTTCCTTCCTGCAGCCTCGTCTAAAGGAAAGAGGAAGAGAATGTTTCCCGGGGAAACACCACCGGGAAGGAGCTGGGGAGGCCTGGCCTGCAGGGATGGGGGCGCGGGACAGAGGACTGGCCCTAGATCTAGGCCCGGGCAAGCCCCTTCCCCGCATCCCTCCGCCCGCCTCGCACACGGCGCCTGGAGCTAGCCCGGCTGCAGCCCTGGCTCTTTTAAGTCCTGCAGCAAAGCAGCCCTTTACAGGGGCGCAGCCCGGATCTGGCACCCCCGCCATCCCGCTCCTAGCGCAGCCGGCACCCAGGCTTCCAGCCCTGCCCGACCCACCACATCCCCGACCTCGCCGCCCAGGCCGAGCCCCGGAACGTTTCCCAGCTCCACGTCGGCGCCCCGGCGGCGGAAAGGGGCGCAGAGTCCGCGGCTCTCACCTGCACGCTGGATCCCGGGCGGCTCGGAGGGGCGCGGGGTGCGGGGCGCAAGCCAGCGCGGCCCGCAGACTCAAACTTTGTTGCTCTCGGGACGGCGCAATCGTCACTTCCTCGCCGAGCGGGCGGCGCCGCCAGCGATGTGACCCAGCAGCTCGCGCGGTGGCGCGCCGGACCCTGCAGCCGCCCGCCCCGCCCGCGCAGCCCTGCGCCGACCGCCACCCAGCGCCGCAGCTGCGGGAGACTTGCTCCAGCCGCGTCCCCCTGCGCCGTGCATGTGCGATCCGGGCGCCACACCAAGGTGCCCTGCTTCCCGGGCTGATGTGGGGGGTGGGGGCATTAGGGCTCCAGGGACACCAGAGAGCTGGGGGTTCTGGAAGAAACACCCCCCCTACACACACACACACACACACACACACACACACACACACACGGGATGAGCGAGGGTTGGGGCTGGAAAGGTCATGAGGGAAAAGCAATGTGCTCTGTGTTTTTCTAAATAATGCCCCAGCTGGGCCTTCAAACATCTGTCTTTTGTCCCTACATTCCCTCAAAAGGCCTGCCCCGCTGGCCTGTCACTTTTACGGATTGTACGTGCTGGGGACGTTTACCATGCATCACATTCCAGGGGCCATGGGGCTGCAAAATGGTCGTTCTGTTCTCTGTCCTTCTCCGTGGTTTCAATCTCTTCCTTTTCACTCAAGCCTCAAAAGGTCTCTATGGGGCCTAATGTATTTGGGGCATCATTACCGTGCAAAAGTGACTTAGAAGGTAGGGTAGAGCCCTGAGAACAAGAACAGGAGCCTCAGGCAATAACAATTTTGAAATTTATCATTGCCCAGAATAAATCTGCTCACCATATTAAATAAAACTACATCAGAAAGCCACCTTTTGGGTTTCTGGTAAGTAGCAACAAAGTAGTTACACAGCTGTGTTCAAGAATTCCTAATCCCTTTAGGGTGGAGAGAAGATGGGGTTAGCCTTTGCTGTGGTTTACAAAATAGCAAACAGCCAAACTGCAGTGGAGGTCTTTCCTAACAAACATTAGCTTCATTGTAGCTTGCCCCAGAAAACAGAGACCTCTAAAAGGGGGTTGAAAAGCCTCAGTTAAGACTGGACAGATTTACCTTTTTTCCTCCCAAATACTATTTCTACTAACACATTGGTCAGATAAAACCTCTCTCCAATGCATCATCTTTTTCTGAAGCAGAAGGAGACATAAATTCGAGTGAAGGTTTTGTGTAGAAAGGTGATATGGAAAATGACATTTGGGAAATGATTCCCAGGTCACCCTACCACCTCACAGGAAGCCACATATTCAGTCAAAGACTGGGCGGGTGTAGATCCATGCTCCCCTAGCAACATGAAATTCTCCATGTTGCAGCTCTTAATACACTACTTCTGATTTCTACAGAGACATTAGTGACACATTTATAAATACAAAATGTACAACGTAAGAAAAATAATATTGCTTTAAGAACTAAGTGCATCGTTAGGCTTGATAATTACAATTCTCTGGAACTGTTATTACATCACACTGTGGTGGAGGGGAGGTGGTGGAGGCATTGCGCATTTCAATTCTGGGACAGAGGGAAGTAATTCCTTAGTGCATTCTGCTTAAGACAACCAATGAGTAGAGCGAAGATGTCATCCAGCCGTCTAAAGACAATCACATGATGCTCCATATTTGCTAAAACAAGAGCAGAATATTTCTTTGTTAGTATTGTAACTCCAAAGTCTCAGCTGCAATTTCATGAATATTCAGTATTTCTGCACGCCTGGGAGTAATTAGCAGATAGTGTAAATGTGTGAAGGCCTAACACTTGCATATGCACATGTGCGTTGCTTTTTCTCTGGATAGGGTGGCATTTGCCAGAGTTCCAGGGCACAGTGTGGAGGATGTGGTAGACAGCCTCTAAAACAGCTCCCTGCCAATGATCTCTGCTTCCTGGTATTCACTACCTTGTGTAATGCCCTCTCAAGCGTAGGCTGGACCCATTGACTCAATTCTAACAAAGAGAATATAGCAGAAGTGATGTGATATCACTTTTGAGATTAGGTTATAAAGAAAACTGTGAGTTCCCTCTTGGGTGCTGTCTGTCCTTCACTCTGCCTTGGATTGCTCTATGTGGGGAGTCAACTGCCATGTCCTAAGACAGCCTGTGGAAGGAGAGTGAGACCTGCCAACAACCTTTTGAGTGGTTGGCCATTTGACCCATGAAAGTCAAAGCCTTCCAGTGAGCTCTCCAATCCAGCCAACAGCTTGACTACAACCGAACCCCACATAAGCTGCCTGGATTCCTGACCCACAAACTGTAAGATTAAATGTTTGGAGTCTCAAGCTGTGTATGAGAGAGAGAGAGAGAGAGAGAGAGAGAGAGAGTGTACATTCAGGGCCTTGTGCACACTAGGTAAGCACTCTGCCACTGAGCTACATCCCCAGCCCAAGTTGCTGTGTTTTGAGGTAATTTATTACACAACCACAGATCACTAACACAGGCCAACAGAAAAGTCAATGAAGACCCATTCTATCTGGAAATAGAATGTGGAGGAAAAACCAAGGACCAGAACAGATTAAAGTGTAATACACAAATCCTGGTCCTCACTCCCTTTGCAGAACAAAGGTTATCCTTCAAACTAGGTCAGAGGGTGCAGACAGCTGCTCAGTCCCAGGCAACCTTGGTATTGAGTGTCACCTTCCTGAGAGCATGTGCAGGTGTCTTTGTGTCACAAGAATTGACACCTGTCCAAGCATCCTCTTTCTCCTCTTTGGGCATCTATCCTGATTGCTGAAGCCTTGGCACAACCAGGGGCCAGGGAGTTAGGCCTTGGATCTGGAAGGAGAGCTTGAAAGAAGGGCCTTTAACTCTAGCAACCAGAAAGGGTAGGTGATTTGGGTGTGTGTGTTGGTGGGGGGGAGTGTCTAAAAACTAGAAAGAAAAGCTGTGGTCCTACAAGAGCAAGTCATAGATTCTGAGAAGAATTGCATCCATACAGCTTCCAGGCCTGGGAAGAACAGGCTGTTGTGTGATGGTGTCTTTCAGCATCAAATCCTCTCTGACTGGAGGTAATTATTTACTTTCAAAACACAAAACAAACTTTTAGGAAGCAGGAGAGATGTCATTCTCCTTGGCCCTGACCAAGAGCAGGCATCTGCTTGTGACTGCCCCCACAGCTCCTCCCCTCAACCAATCTTGCAGAAACTGGCAATTGTAGAGGCCATTTCTGTTTTCCCTCCAGAGACACCGGGCTCCGATTTTTCTCATGTTCAGTGGCCGCAGCTGCCGTGTTGCCATGCCGTCATCTGGTTGCTATGACTCGTGAGGTGGTGAATGTGCCAGAATGTGAATCTATTAATTTAACAGGAACTGGGCTTAGCACATACATTCCTTGTTAGGTCATTTGCTTTGCTACCTAAACCACATCCAATGTGTTCAGCAATGGGCATGGTTCCTAGAATCTGGCTTTGCAAAAACATCAAATGCCCCAAATTTTGAGTCTGCACAGTTTTATATGATTAAATTACTATGGAGGACATAATTTAGCATGGGGATGTAAATGAGTCAGTTCAAGAAAAAAAATCAAGGGAGAAGAAATGGTTAATGTCTCTGGTCCTCTGTCCTTATGTATTTAGGTCCTCTGTGCAGGAAGGGTATGTACTAATATCTGTAGGAGTCCCTCCCTGAACCCCAGTTGCTCTCCAACACCAGACTAGATATTGTGGGCTGCACCAAAAAGAATGCCATCCTCTTCTGTTGTGATGAGCACATAGACAGGCATTTTTCATGCATCCTTTCAGTTACCACTCACTGAGTATCTACTAGTGTGCTAGAGACACAAAGATCAAAAGAACATGCAAATTACAATCAACATAAGCAATATCAGAATCCAGTTTGCATAGAGCACCATGAGATCTCAGAAAGGAGCAAATAAGTTGGAGAAGAGTTATGAGTTATGGTTACCACCAGTGATTTCTTTCATATATATATATATGTATATATATTGGGATCCACTGAATTAAGTAATAGTAAGTATTGCATTGTCCAGCATTTGTTTTAGTGTGTGCAATATATATGTATATTTGTATGAGCTCAGAATGTCAAATGTATGTCCTACATTCACGCAAGGTTCTGGGTTTAATGAGTGATGAGCCAGGCATCAAAGTGTTGAACCATTGCAGAGTTGAAGAAACTAGCCATGACTTAGAGGTATTCCAAATTCTCTCCTTAGTAAGTCTCAATGCTGAGTTCCTGGAGTCCTCCCTTAGCAGAACATCAGCCCTTCCATCCAGAAGCTATGCCAGATCTAGGACAGAAAGACTCACCCTCTTTCTGGACTAACAGGTGAAGGGAAGGGGAACAATGAGAGGAAAGAGTGTCAAAAGCTTGGATGGGAGCCAGAAAGGTGCATTACCTAATGAGTGCTGCTCCAACACACAGGGGCTCTTACTTAGCTCCTCTGGGGATTCTTAAAGGAAGCTGCATCCAAGGCTGGTTTATACCAAGCCAGGGACAGCCATGTCAAAGCAAACCTGGCAGTCAAACCTGGGTAGGCAGAAAGAGTCCTGCAGCTTAGCTCTCCTGAGAGCTCACAGTTCCCACCTGGCATGGATATCACATTGAAAGCCAGCTGCCTGCTGTGGGACTGTCCTAGGAGGACAAGGTGACCCTGCAGCAAGCTCAGGAGAAGATCAGAGGACTGCACCAGTGAGAATGGAAAGGAAATGAGCATCAAGTTGTAAAGGGAGAAGTTGATGCAAGGTACAAGGGGATAGCTTTGTGAAGAGTGGACCACAAGCTTGTCCCTCGAGCAACAGAAACTCAGGCCACAAGGTAGGTTGGTGTGGTAGTTAGGAACAATGATTCGGCACTGCTTGTAGAGTGCCTGGCTTCAAGTCATCCTTGCTGTATACTGTGTAACCTTGCAAAGCCTTATCTTTTCTGTGCCTCAATTCTCCTTCTGTAAGATGGGGATGATGTTTAGCAATTGTACATTCTTGATAAAGTTGTTACATGAATTAAATTAGTTGGTAAAGCTCTTACATATAAATATTCTACATGCATCAATTAAATAAATCAATCATTCATCAACCAAAAGGATTCTATGTGAATATTACCTGATTCCAAAACCCCCAAGTTGGTCTTTCAGCTAAAAATTCCCCCAAT